CGAAAAATTTAAACGATGTTGTCATTTTCTAGAGGGGTAAATATGGCGAAAAATTGTCATGACAAAAATCTGTCCAACACATGCCATTAAGACTACTGGTATGAGTATAAGTATTATTTTAAGCTATCTTTTCATCGAGACATCTGCAAACTGACAATTTGGAAAAAAGTTATGGCCATCACAATTTTACGGGCCCCCAGAATATAGGTCCATACGACCCCCAGAATATAGGTTGGTCAAAAACCCTGAACATGCCCAAAACCATGCTGTGGGATGCTCTACTTGTAGCTACTAGTCTCCTGAACCCACATATCAAGTTTTATCAAAATTGGATAAAAATTGGCCGAGTTATGGGATAAAAACAAAAACCATATGCCCATATTTGGGCATACGCACCTAATTTGATCGATTTTGGTCCATAAATTGGTCAAATATCAATATTTTTGAATGAAACCAACTTTATATGGAAGGTAAGCATATATTACACATTCTCTATGATTATCAGCTCAACATCTACCTAACTGTGGATTCTGTGTTAAAATAATCGCAAAAAATGAACAAAATCGCCCATATCTCAAACTGACTTAGCTCAAAACAATAGAATTCAATAGGTTTTCAATATTTTCACATGAAATTTTCAGAATCAACGTAGAATTGTCTCATGACCCTAAGTTTTGGGACAGAATTTTGAGTTAGGCCTTTAAAAAAATTTGGCGGCCAAAAATGTCTGATTTACAGTCATTGAGGTGCACATTGTATTGATACAGATAAAAACAGCCCCCTCAATCATATCTAGGGACACTCCTTCAATCTTATTTAAGTATTTAGTTAAGATCCCTACTAAATGAGTGCATGAATGCTTTTTAACTAGTAAAATTAAAGATTTTACTCATTACGGGTATATGGCCCCCAGAATATAGGTTTTAAAAAAAAAATAGCGACCAAGATTCTGCATTTTCTCTGTCACCCTGAGCATTAAGGAATGTGGGGTAGTGATGAGAAACAGTTAAAGAACATATGCTGAAGAGATGGCATCATCAAAATGTATGAAGGTGGAGTATTTGAGGACGATTTTTGCATACCTATATTCTGGGGGCCGTAGTTTTTGATTTTTTGCTATTAAGTATACTCTAAACCATTTCAATTTAGTATCTGGAGCCATTGGCATCATCAATACAGTCTCAGCAACATATTCTGACTGCATATAACTGTCTGTGACAATTTTAGAACAACTTAGGAACAGATGTTTGGACCTATATTCTGGGGGCCCTGTTAAAAAATGGTATTTTTACAGGTGAAAAAAAAGTACACTTAAAAACCTAATAATTATTTTCAACTACCCAAGAAACATTTAAAGGGTTATTATGTACATATTTACAGCCCTAAACATGCTTAGAAGTAGTTTTAACACCTGTTTCTAAGTGCTCAAAAAACGACCTATATTCTGGGGGCCATATACCCGTATAGAAATTCACTTCAAAACACCATTGACAACATTACCAGTGAAACGATCACCTGCTACACTGACGGGTCACTCAAAGACTCAGGATGCGGGGCTGGCTATATCATCATTCATCACAACTGACAACAATAACACCACCCTTGAAGAAAGATCATTCAAGCTCCCTGATTATTGCACTGTTTACCAAACAGAGCTCACCGCCATCATTGAAGCTTGCAAATATCTCTCTACCTATACCAACACACATATCATCATATGGTCTGACAGTCTCTCATCTATACAAGCTATTTCTGCGCTTTCAACGCGGAGTAGAACTACAAGAGACTGTTACGACTCTCTTAATGCACTCGGATCCAACAACACGCTAGAGATACGATGGATTGCAGCACACATCGGATTGTGGGGGAACGAAAAAGCACATGAGCTGGCCAAGCTTGGTACAATCAGTGAATCCACTTTGAAGTGTCCAGTTCCACAATCCTACATCAAGCGTCAAATCGACAACAAAGTCAACAGACTGAATCAGGAAACTTGGTTAACTGACGGTCCCAGACACACCAAACTGACACTCGGCCACAAGCATGCCAAAATCATCAAAAACCTCAACACTACACTCAGCAAAAACAGACAAGATTACAGAACTGCAGTTCACCTCATCACGGGTCACTGCGGCTTAAACAAACACCTTCACACCATTTGCAAATCAAACACCAGTGCTTGTCCTATGTGCGGCGACGGAGAGGAAACTGTCTCACACTTCCTTGGACAGTGTCCGGCTATTGCCCAAATTAGAGGTCAATATTTCCAGGACTACTACCTCTCTGTCAATGACATATTCAACAACCAACACATCACCACAATTTTCAATTTCGCAAACCGCACCAGACGCTTAATTGTGCCGGAAGAGCTGGATCAGACCAGGGTGACTTAAAGTATTATCTCATATGCTGTCTCGTCTCGTTTTACTTTTCCAAACCCAGCTGGCATTTAAGCGTATCATTTTGACTCATATAACATCTTACACCATCCTCCACCAATCACTCTGATTTCACCGGCAACCTTCCCCAAGGTTGCCACACCCCAGAGGTAGGCAGAGCATCTCAATGCTATCCTCTCGTGGGCTATCTTGGCCCAGCCTCTCTAAAAAGTTTTGATGTACCATGCTCACCATTATTAAGCCCCCTCCCGGTTGCAACATTGCCATGTTACGCAAATAATTGCAGCGCTAACGAAATATTTGCCATCTTAGCAAAATATGCGCCGTGTTATGATGTATTTGCCAGGCTGCGCGTGATGATGCAAACATTTCCTAAGGAGGCAAATATTACGTTAGGAAAATGCGCATTCTTAGCAAAATATTTGCCAAACGGTCTGACCGCGTTGCACGCTCCTTTTTAGTTTGTTAACGCGAGAATGAAATCTTCGCATTGTTAGCAAAATATTCGCCTCCTTATAATTTATTTGCGCGAGAGTTAAATCTCCGCTTTCTTAGCAAAATATTCGCCACCTTATAATTTATTTGCGCGAGAGTTAAATCTAAGCTTTCTTAGCAAAATATTCGCCACCTTATAATTTATTTGCGGGAGAGTTAAATCTACGCTTTCTTAGCAAAATATTTGCCGCCTTATAATTTATTTGCGGGAGAGTTAAATCTACGCTTTCTTAACAAAATATTTGCCGCCTTATGTTTTACAAATACATGTCCTTATAGTTATGTTTAAACTACTCATGTTAACATATTGGTATATTGATTTAATATTTGTTGAACTGGAAGGCACGGTAATTGAACTTTAGCTCTTTATACACTGAAGTACACCAAGAAGCTACCTATCAATCTTTAAGTTCAAAGTTGTTATAGTGTTAGCAGTTAAAACTTTGAACTTCATCCCGTTTCAAATTTCAAACTTCAGTACGAATTATTGCACTTATGCGCCGGACGCCGGTTATACTTATAACGAGGTCCAGAACACACGCTTAAAGTTAATGTGTGTTTATTTACCAATTATGACCTATGACCTATACTTTACTCCGCTAGAAACAATAAAATTCAAGGAAATTGGACACTAGGGAAGCTACCTAGCGAACTTTAGTGTTAGAAATAGAACTTAGAGCTTCAGTGCGTCCATATCGCGCGTTTCAAACCACAGCACGTGAATCAATAGAGCAATAGGTAATGCCGGATATAATGAGCTGGCACACACGTTGAATAATGTATGATTATATTCATTTTCCCATTGTAGTATGTTCTCATGCACTATAACTAACAACTAAGTGCTGTGCATCATGCGAAGGACAACTTCGAAGTCTTTTTAGAACCTGAACATTACCGGAACTAAAGTTGACCTGAACTAAAGTCAACTACTGAACACGCACTGAAGTCCACCAGGGGAATATATTGAAACATCTAATCTGACGAACTAAAGTCGTCCGATGAAGTCATTGTGCGCTTCAGCTAACACAATTTATTATTATCACCTGGCCTCACATATTGGAATTATGCTAAAAACTAGTAAAAAGTGAAAGCGATCATGATGTGTAGGTACGACACCGACTTTACGTTTAATTTTAACACAATACATTGATCAATCAATATGATTGCAACCAGGTACCGATCACATATTAATATATTATTAAGAGGTAGTAAGATTTAAATATTGACACAATTATGTATGTAGTTTGTAAGCTATTCGATTATCTTGGGATCATGTTTTTTGTCCATTTTTGTCCATGTGCTACCAAATATTTTCAAGGTAGACAAAAATAGGGTGGACAGAAATGGACAAAAATGGACAAAATGGACAACAAATTTCAAAATACACGGAAATAGTCTGAGACAAAAGGGGAACTCGCTAGCTTTTTGGGTTAGACGATGTCTAAAACATTTAGCTTCTAGGGTGTTTTGGGCCACACCCTTTTCTAGAGCTTTTCAGTTGCTCAAATTTTTTCCCGATCCATGACTCAAGTGCCAAAGGCACAAAAGAGTCAAGAACAAGGATTAGCAAACGAGGTTTTTTTTTCGTATTATAATATGGTAGCTTGCAACCATCGTGTGTACACACATACATGCCAATATGTCGCCCACGTTCCTAACTAGACTGTGCAAAGTTATTTTGCGCGATGTTCTGAATTAAATAATTGTTAATGTTCCAAAAACACATCCGTTGTCTCATAGAATCCAAAAAGGACAGGACATAGGCGGACATTGGCGGACATGTCACCCCCCCCCCCCCCCCCCCCATACACTGTACCCTACTGGGGAAATACAGATTATATATAAATATTAAGTCTAATGGTGGATACTGCCATGAATACAAATTCTGCGGTTCTATTGCTTCAAAAAAGTGGAAACTGATTCATAAATTCAATTTGAATGACAAATTAACGATTTTTACCATAAAAGCAGCCATATTAATGATATATTTTTCTACAGGTAGAAAAAAGGATATACTATGATAACGCCTTTAGTATATAATATTATATTTTTCACTTTGCAGTAAATATTGAAATGAGCTAAAAGCCCACTAAATTCCAATGTTTCAGAAAGATATGGATACTGCAGTCGAAGAGAAGATAATTAATGAAGAGTACAAGATATGGAAAAAGAATACCCCATTTCTGTGAGCAGTTTATACCTATCATATCCTTGTGTAGTACATAGAATACTACATGCGTGATGTTATTATTTAAAGAATGTATTACACGTATTGTTATTGTTATTGTTGTTATTGTTGTTATTGTTGTAATTGTTGTTATTGTTCTTATTGTTGTTATTGCTGTTATTGTTGTTATTGTTGTTATTGTTGTTATTGTTGTTATTGTTGTTATTGTTGTTATTGTTGTTATTGTTGTTATTGTTGTTATTGTTGTTATTGTTGTTATTGTTGTTATTGTTGTTATTGTTGTTATTGTTTCAGGTACGACTTCATGTTGACATACTCGCTCGAGTGGCCCTCACTCACCTGTCAGTGGATGCCTCAGCTCAACAGGTAATATTATACAGTAATTATACAGTAATTGTCTTAGTAGCAGTGCCGTAATTATACAGTAACTAGTGTAACTCGTGCCTACGGCCGGGACTTCACTATCGCAGTTGAAATGCAAAAATTAAAACCCGCCTATTAAATTCGGAACCACGCATAATGCAAAAATATGAACTCATTCAGTCCAAACAGACGGTAATTTTATTCTGAGTGCCCCCTAATAAGCTTATAGTAAATTTACTATGAGGTGCCACGTCCACCTCATATAATATCCAAAACTTTTTCTCTACTATCTTTTTACAATAGTAGGGAAAAAATCAACTAGTGAGCTTAACAAATTAAAATTGCAACCTTTATGAACTAGTAGCAACCGATAATGGGCATTTTACTCCCTTATAAAAAATCAGGACATTATTTATAAAACACCCTATAGTGTGGGACATGTCACCCCCTATATTGTGGGACATGTTAGGCCCCCCGCCCTATATTGTGGGACATGTCACCCCCCCTATATTGTTGGACATGTTAGGCCCCCCCTATATTGTGGGACATGTCATCCCCTATATTGTGGGACATGTCACCCCCTATATTGTGGGACATGTCATCCCCTATATTGTGGGACATGTCACCCCTCTATATTGTGGGACATGTCACCCCCTATATTGTGGGACATGTCACCCCCCTATATTGTGGGACATGTCACCCCCCTATATTGTGGGACATGTCACCCCCTATATTGTGGGACATGTCATCCCCTATATTGTGGGACATGTCACCCCCCTATATTGTGGGACATGTCATCCCCTATATTGTGGGACATGTCACCCCCCCTATATTGTGGGACATGTCACCCCCCCCCCCATATATTGTAGGACATGTCACCCCCCTATATTGTGGGACATGTCACCCCCCTATATTGTGGGACATGTCACCCCCTATATAGTGGGACATGTCACCCCCTATATTGTGGGACATGTCACCCCCCTATATTGTGGGACATGTCACCTCCTATATTGTGGGACATGTCTTCCCCTATATTGTGGGACATGTCACCCCCCTATATTGTGGGACATGTCACCCCCCTATATTGTGGGACTTTTCACCCCTCTATATTGTGGGACATGTCACCCCTCTATATTGTGGGACATGTCACCCCCCTATATTGTGGGACATGTCATCCCCTATATTGTGGGACATGTCACCCCCTATATTGTGGGACATGTCACCCCCTATATTGTGGGACATATCACCCCCTTTATTGTGGGACATGTCATCCCCTATATTGTGGGACATGTCACCCCCCCCCCTATATTGTGGGACATGTCACCCCCTATATTGTGGGACATATCAGTTATCACCCCCTTTATTGTGGGACATGTCATCCCCTATATTGTGGGACATGTCACCCCCTTATATTGTGGGACATGTCACCCCCCTATATTGTGGAACATGTCACCCCTCTATATTGTGGGACATGTCACCCCCTATATTGTGGGACATGTCACCCCCCTTTATTGTGGGACATGTCACCCCCCTTTATTGTGGGACATGTCACCCCTCTATATTTTGGGACATGTCACCCCTCTATATTGTGGGACATGTCATCCCCTATATTGTGGGACATGCCACCCCCCCTATATTGTGGGACATGTCACCCCCCTATATTGTGGGACATATCACCCCCTATATTGTGGGACATGTCATCCCCTATATTGTGGGACATGTCACCCCCCTATATTGTGGGACATGTCACCCCCTATATTGTGGGACATATCACCCCCTATATTGTGGGACATGTCATCCCCTATATTGTGGGACATGTCACCCCCCCTATATTGTGGGACATGTCACCCCCCTATATTTTGGGACATGTCACCCCCCCTATATTGTGGGACATGTCACCCCCCCCCTATATTGTGGGACATGTCACCCCCCCCCCCTATATTGTGATATCATAATTCCAATTATAACACCATATTATGTTTCTGTAGATATTTTTGGAGTTAATGAGATTGCCTGTATTAAATAGTTATGAATATTAATTTAGTGTGTTTCAGACTAGATGGTAAAGACAATACAGTACACAGACTTATACTGGGAACACACACGTAAGTGTAACTTTGTAACATGTCACTATTATATTAGTATAGTAGTATAGTAGGTAGTAGTATAGTAGGTAATCACTAAAAACTGTCAGCTTTATTGGGCTGATAAGACACATTTAAAAATCTAACTTTTTGGTATATATTGATACAAAAGTATTGGAAGTAGTCATGGAAGCATGAAAACGATATATTAAAGTCTTTACAATGTGAAATGAAGAAGAAGATAAATATTGAATGTAAGTTTAAAAACACATCTGGATAATGGTGAAGAGTTACTTAAGTTTTTTAAGTAATAGTCAGGGCGAACCCCCCCCCCCCCCCCCCCCCCCCTTAAGTAATAGTCGTACAGCGAATAGAATATTAGAGTGTTATGATTTTAAAACATTGTATACTTATAAATCAAGAGGCTTGCATATAATGAACATATTGACACGGGTGCAGAGTTGAGTCTGTACGGAACCTAGTAGTTTCAGATCCTTGTTTAACTTGCCGTACAGCAAGGTCATCCACTACTTTAGCCCGGCGAGGCACATAACTCCCTCTACAACTCCATGACAAATGTTTCATATATACTAGCCGAGTTCACAAGTTATATCCTTGTGTTTGAGAAGAGCTCGTTAGAACTGCTTCCTTTCCCTTCAGTATCCCACAGTCTCTCGAGTTTCGTAACTGCCAGAGAACTCTCTTAAACAATTACTAGACTCGGTGATTATAAATCAAGAGACTTGCATATAATGAACATATTGACACGGGTGCAGAGTTCAGTCTGTACGGAACCTAGTAGTTTCAGATCCTTGTTTAACTTGCCGTACAGCAAGGTCATCCACTACTATAGCCCGGCGAGGCACATAACTCCCTCTTCAACTCCATGACAAATGTTTCATATATACTAGCCGAGTTCACAAGTTATATCCTTGTGTTTGAGAAGAGCTCGTTAGAACTGCTTCCTTTCCCTTCAGTATCCCACAGTCTCTCGAATTTCGTAACTGCCAGAGAACTCTCTTAAACAATTACTAGACTCGGTGATTATACATCAAGAGGCTTGCATATAATGAACATATTGACACGGGTGCAGAGTTGAGTCTGTACGGAACCTAGTAGTTTCAGATCCTTGTTTAACTTGCCGTACAGCAAGGTCATCCACTACTTTAGCCCGGCGAGGCACATAACTCCCTCTACAACTCCATGACAAATGTTTCATATATACTAGCCGAGTTCACAAGTTATATCCTTGTGTTTGAGAAGAGCTCGTTAGAACTGCTTCCTTTCCCTTCAGTATCCCACAGTCTCTCGAGTTTCGTAACTGCCAGAGAACTCTCTTAAACAATTACTAGACTCGGTGATTATAAATCAAGAGGCTTGCATATAATGAACATATTGACACGGGTGCAGAGTTGAGTCTGTACGGAACCTAGTAGTTTCAGTATATTCCACATGATGATCTTTTTGATACAATTTGCTGTTTAATTGATATCATATTTGATTCAAAAAGTGTTCATTTTGTGATAATTTAAAGCGTTACGTGTGTCGTGGTATAATGATTAAAAAATAGTGGATTTTGTTTTATTTTAGTCGTGATAATATTAAAGAGTTATTAAGATATTTTATAATATTTTATAATAAGATTTTATAATATAATATTTGTTAAACTTAAAGGTAATCTTACTATTATATAATATAGTAAGATTACTATATCTTACTATATATAAAGCGAGACGATATATATATATATATATTTATTTATCCGCACCATTTTACTGACACCACGGCATCAACTTTAACACGGGTTTCCGCAAAAACCGTACAAGATATAAAACTGAAACTTTTTTAACTGATTCAAATGCTTTAATGGCCTTCAAATCAGCATGAAAAAATCGAAAATCGGCCAAGGAATAAGAATTTTAGTACCCAAAATTTGGACCCCCAAGTGGTGTCAAAAACGCGAATTAAATAGGTAATAATTATTTTTACTGGGAGACTTTAGGGTAGGAAACTGATCCGGCCACCAAAGAGCCTTGACACCAGTCTTAAAGGTTTGACGGGTTCCTGCTAGTATATATAAAGCGAGACGATATAATATATACATATTATTATATATGTTTAATGTTTATCCATATCATTTTACTGACACCAGGGTATCAACTTTAACGCGACTTTCCGCAAAAACCGTAAAAGATATAATACAACTGAAACTTTTTTGACTTGGTCAAATGCTTTAATTGATTTCGAATCAGCATGAAAAAATAAAGAAATGGCCATGGAATAAGAATTTTAGTGCCCAAAATTTGTACCCCCAAGTGGTGTCAAAAACGCGAATTAAATAGGTAATAATTATTTCAGTCTCTAACTCTTGAACCATTCGTTATTAAAGAGATCATTAAAAGACAGTCTAAAAGTAGATAACTAGCTTCCTCTTTCAGTCCTTCCTTTCTTTCTTTCTTTCTTTTTTCCCTTTTTCCTTTCCGCCTTTTTTTCTATTCCAGCTTTGGATCTGTGACGGATGTGATAGATTTCTTGCAGTCACTTTTCTCCCTACATGGGCTCCCGGCCGTGCGTCCATGTAGGAGCCGTGGGGCCTCCCGAGTGATAGGGTTACAGTGACTGCTAGTAGGGAAAGTATGAAAGCTATATCAGTAGACACAATTACCGAACACAGGGCATTGGCTCGACCTCCAAGACAGGGTATCTGCGAGGACCCTGGTCGTAATCAGCTCTGCACAGTTTCAGTGTATCCAGATGCCTGAAATCTTGGACACTGCCTACGTACGGGGTAGACAGCTGCATATATATTGATATCATGTGGTACTATTACAACAATCTCTGTTTGATATGCAGATGTTATCGCGATTAGATAACTTAGTTGGTGTGTGTTTGTGTGTTTGTGTAAACATTGTTGATAAGCGAACCACGTCAGTCATTATAGAAATGTATTGATAGTATGAAGGTCTGCACACTGAAAGATACAATTGATAGTATGAAGGTCTGCACACTGAAAGATACAATTGATAGTATGAAGGTCTGCACATTGAAAGATACAATTGATAGTATGAAGGGCTGCACACTGAAAGATACAATTGATAGTATGAAGGGCTGCACACTGAAAGATACAATTGATAGTATGAAGGTCTGCACACTGAAAGATACAATTGATAGTATGAAGGTCTGCACACTGAAAGATACAATTGATAGTATGAAGGTCTGCACACTGAAAGATACAATTGATAGTATGAAGGTCTGCACACTGAAAGATACAATTGATAGTATGAAGGTCTGCACACTGAAAGATACAATTGATAGTATGAAGGGCTGCACACTGAAAGATACAATTGATAGTATGAAGGGCTGCACACTGAAAGATACAATTGATAGTATGAAGGGCTGCACACTGAAAGATACAATTGATAGTATGAAGGTCTGCACACTGAAAGATACAATTGATAGTATGAAGGTCTGCACACTGAAAGATACAATTGATAGTATGAAGGTCTGCACACTGAAAGATACAATTGATAGTATGAAGGTCTGCACACTGAAAGATACAATTGATAGTATGAAGGTCTGCACACTGAAAGATACAATTGATAGTATGAAGGGCTGCACACTGAAGGATACAATTGATAGTATGAAGGGCTGCACACTGAAGGATACAATTGATAGTATGAAGGTCTGCACACTGAAAGATACAATTGATAGTATGAAGGGCTGCACACTGAAAGATACAATTGATAGTATGAAGGTCTGCACACTGAAAGATACAATTGATAGTATGAAGGGCTGCACACTGAAAGATACAATTGATAGTATGAAGGGCTGCACACTGAAAGATACAATTGATAGTATGAAGGTCTGCACACTGAAAGATACAATTGATAGTATGAAGGTCTGCACACTGAAAGATACAATTGATAGTAGGAAGGTCTGCACACTGAAAGATACAATTGATAGTATGAAGGTCTGCACACTGAAAGATACAATTGATAGTATGAAGGGCTGCACACTGAAAGATACAATTGATAGTATGAAGGGCTGCACACTGAAAGATACAATTGATAGTATGAAGGTCTGCACACTGAAAGATACAATTGATAGTATGAAGGTCTGCACACTGAAAGATACAATTGATAGTATGAAGGTCTGCACACTGAAAGATACAATTGATAGTATGAAGGGCTGCACACTGAAAGATACAATTGATGGGGGGCATCAACCTCATAAATACCTATATTATTCCCTCCGATTTCAAAATAGGTATGTAGACCGTGTATATTTATGGTTATTTAAAGGTTTTGTTGTTTTTATTCTGCATGGACAGAATATATTGGGGAACTCTGTAATCTGTCAATAGAAACATATTGCACGGTTAACAGTAAAAACACAGTTGAAAGAAACGCACGATTAACAATTATACAATTTACACGGGTAGCACACAAATGAAAGCTCTTCTAAACAGAGGCGCCTCTGCTCCTAAACAGAGGCGCCTCTGCTTCTAAACAGAGGCGCCTCTGCTTCTAAACAGAGGCGCCTCTGCTTCTAAACAGAGGCGCCTCTGCTCCTAAACAGAGGCGCCTCTGCTCCTAAACAGAGGCGCCTCTGCTTCTAAACAGAGGCGCCTCTGCTTCTTAACAGAGGCGCCTCTGCTTCTAAACAGAGGCGCCTCTGCTCCTAAACAGAGGCGCCTCTGCTCCTAAACAGAGGCGCCTCTGCTTCTAAACAGAGGCGCCTCTGCTGCTTAACAGAGGCGCCTCTGCTTCTAAACAGAGGCGCCTCTGCTTCTAAACAGTGGCGCCTCTGCTTCTAAACAGAGGCGCCTCTGCTTCTTAACAGAGGCGCCTCTGCTTCTGAACAGAGGCGCCTCTGCTCCTAAACAGAGGCGCCTCTGCTTCTAAACAGAGGCGCCTCTGCTTCTAAACAGAGGCGCCTCTGCTCCTAAACAGAGGCGCCTCTGCTTCTAAATAGAGGCGCCTCTGCTTCTAAACAGAGGCGCCTCTGCTTCTAAACAGAGG